CTTGCCTTTTTCTAACATTTGGGTACTACACAAGTCCGAACCCGTGGTTTCATTACCATGTTAACATCATGGTCACTACCATCGAACAATGACAAGACAGACAGGTAAATACGCACATAACACATGGAATTTGCACATGTGCGTGTACACTCCTAAAAATGGTAGTCCTGGCACCCGCTCACCCAGGGGTTGTCCTAGAGCAAGCTGCCAATGTGCAGGAACCTACACTTAGCCCCGTCGCGCCGCCCCGGAGTCTGTGCCAGCACCTTTCTTGTAGGAGTCCACACATTTTGGGTACGAGCCGAAGGACAACCCTATGCTTGCAGTCAACGAACTCGGGGAATATAAGCATTGCACAAATCCTGCTAGGAGGAGTGGATGGAGGAGGAGCACCCCAAGAAAGAAGTCCCCCCTCCGCTCTCTCGCGCGCGCTGAGATGGCTGCCCTAGCCAACGACGCCCACCGTCATGCCGATTGCGTCGGGGCTGTGGCCCGTGCCTATGGAAGCAGTTGGCAGGCCTGACTGCGTCCCTGCTGCCTGTCATTTTGTTGCCGAAGTTGAGGCTGCTGCGGGCCACAAAGCCGGCACGGCGCAGTCGAACGAAGGTACAAATCATAGCACACAGTTAAGGAACTGAACAGTGTGTCCGTTATCACACATTATGCAACGAGCTGAAACATGTGCAACATGCCCCATCATCGCACTCGATTAAATTATCAGAACCGTGCGTTGAACACCACAAACGATTTTGCTGGCCCAATCGTGTGCAATGATGCCAGTCATCTCACACGCATTAGTCTAGGCAATAGTGTGGAACTCATCACGCACGGTTCACTTGAACCAATCATGCATGATGCTTTATGGATCACACACGGTTCAATTTTCTTAAGGCGTGCAATGCCTTCATCACATACAATTTGAATTTTGGGCGTGTGATAGGAGGGCTTAATAGCATTGATCTGCAGTAATGATAATATTATGCCCGAACGCTTATCTCACCGCTCTATCAGCATCTCGTGTGTGTTGGAAAAAATGTGCTAGAGTTCAGAGTCAAACTCACAACTTCACCCTCGATCTCACAATAGAGGATTGAATGTAGCAACCAACTAACCTAACCAATTGTTTTTGTGTGTTACTAATTGAGATCCAACTTTATACACATGAACCGCATTTGAAACGGATGAACAAGGGGTTCGGCCTATCTAGGCACTTTCTCGAAGAGAGGCTCGGTGAAATAGACATGTCGAGGACTGCCGAACTAAGAACTTGATCGACTCGGACATCCATCTGATTCTTCAAAGTATTTGTTCTGGTGGTGGATGGTGGACAGGGAGACTTGATGTAGGATGATGTGGATGGTGCCCCGAGGATGAGGTGGATGCCAAGGGTTCTCACCAGAACTAGTTGTCCCATTGTACCAGGCCGTCTTTGTAGTTATGCATTTATCTAGGCGCATATTCTACAGTTAGCAATATGACAACTATGTAGTTACCTAGATGCATATGTATAGGTAACCAACTACTTGTGCAATAATTAATAGCATAGTAATTATGTAGTTACCAGACTGCCAATGCTACAATTACCAACATAGCAATTTTGTAGTTACCTATCCCAAGCAATTGGCCATCAGCAACCCACCTCTAATAAGAACCTTTTGCGATTGTTACTTTTACAAACCGCTCCAGAAGAGGGACATTCCGAAATGAATCCTTACCATGTGGCTACCTTAGATATAGACCTTGCAGCAACTATTTTAGTACAAACCGCAACAAAGTCATTTGAAAAATAACCAGAAGCATGCTCGTTTTCTGGCAATATCCCCTGCATAGAGTACTCATATGAGAGTAACACCACCACAACATTTACATATATTTTCCATCACACATCCAACTAGTAAAATATTCCATCTCATGCATATGTACACCACATAATAACCGAGTTTAGTACAATATTCATTGATAAAACTGAATAAATAGCACAATATTCAATGGGAAGTGTTACAAAGAGAAGAAAAGAAACAATGTGCTTTTTTGGTTACCTCCTTGCCTTTCCGAGTAGCAGATTAAGGCTATCGTCTTCCCTCTCTATCCAAGGAGTGAAGGATGATATGTACAAAGCGGAAGAAGAGACACAAATAGAATATCCAAAACACCAGAGTATAAAAAAAATCGATGCCTCATCAAAATATACAAGAATGCATGAGAAGATAGATAAATAGCTAGTTTGAAATGATAACTCTAGGCAGAAGAGTTACAATATCTTATTGGATACTTTTATGTAGTGTTACCAAACTAGTCCTCCCTATTTGCACATAAATGAAGATATTTAGTTTGGCACCATAAACACTGAAGTAGCCATAAAGACTAAAGTAGGGACCATGAAGCCTAAAGTTATCGAAATCCATGATGTCGAGTTCGTCTTTTCCGGCTGATAATGCCCACGGATTGTGGATGGGGCATCATGTTTCATCCAAATGGGGTCCCTCATGATCTTCTCAATTCGTGGATGCAACCAATTTTGTAAGCTTGAAAACCATCAAGTGGTAGCTAACCTTGGACAATATAACAAACTTTGTCTTTTTTTGCGGGACCACACTTTCCATACTATCGAAATGTTTGAATCTACATCCCGCCAGAGCCAAGCACCAACCTTGTTGATGAGAGGTTCGATATGCACTTCTTTTAGCATCACAAAATGTAATGTGAGGTGGAGGTAAGTGCGGGGGAAAGAACCAAGGCAAACCGATGCAGCATGACAAACTTTAGTATGGATCCCGTCACAGTTAATTAGGAAGACATGCTATGCTTTCTCCAAGTTTGGTCTGAAGGTCGCCTGCAGAAAAATGGTCGAGAGGGTGGAGTTGATGGCCACAAGATTTCTGACCAAGGGGCTGAATTTTTTTAATCGTCAGTGTAAAGAGAACCCCTAAACTACACCTACCAGACCCTAAAAGGCTATAGGGTTGTGTGGTGATGATGGTCGATAGTGGTGTTGAAGTACATGGGCAAAATATAGTAAAGCCCTCTCTCATGGGCGATCTACAATTGTGGATTTCGATTTAAAGCACAATCAATAGAATCGAAAAAAGAATTGATCCAAAGAACTGTGAATTTTGTAAAATTGGAGTTCTAATTTGGATTTGCCCATGTAGTTCAACTCATGACAGCCAGAACGGTGTAACCATAAATTTGTAATTGATATTTTACTCTTTTTCTTGAGCACACCTTTGAATTCATGCCATGTTTTATTCATATATAGTTTACATTTTATAACAATTTTATACAATTGGATTTTATGTAAACCAAGTATAAATTCTGATACTGATGGATGATGGTTGGACTTAATTTGCAGGAGAACGATGGCGTAGCATGTGCTAACCCCAAGTTACAAGGTGATGTAATGGATCTGGATAAGGTGAGCTCTCCGAGAATTAAAATTTGACCACTATCTCGTGTCCAAATTTACTTTGCTGCCATAATTGTGTTTCAGCAAGAATTAATAAACAACATACTACCTCAATTTCAAATACATTCTGTACTACTAGTTTTTCGTTTCGGTATTTTAGAGTATATCACGTGCTCAAAAATCAAGGCGTGTCAGCCATTATATGCAGTAGCGTTTATGACTAGCCACTCCTTGATCGAATACATAAGTCTATATAACCTCTCGTAAGTCCTAACTCTTCCTTGATATGCACAATTCTTTCTAATATGCAAAACAGAGGTAGTATAATGAGCTTAACATATTTATTGATGATGAAAGATTTCATAAAATACAACCAGTCAAAATTGGAATGTACTTATTTTAACTGTGCGTATAGAGCTAATTAATTCATGTTATTTATCAGTTAATGTTTATTACTCCTAATTTTATGATTCATTTATTTGCTCATCATAGGCACTAATGATGAAGATTGGGCCGTGGGGAGGGCATAGCGGTTATCTTAAGGACATCAAGGAGGCACCCCTATGCCTAAACAGTGTCACAATCCGCAGTGGAAAGGTTGTATATTCCCTTGCATTTTCCTACAGTGATGGCCATGGAAAGCAGCACCATGCAGGCCCATGGGGAATATGCGAAAGCTTTTCTTATGGGAGGTTTGATACGGTGAGTGTAGATGTTACTCGAGATTTGTTTTCAAGAAAAGACGAAATGTGTGTCTATCGCAATCTCTTTGTATCTATGGACTATGGCTAGGCTGGTAATCATTTGTCTTCTCTTATAGATTCAGCTAAGTTCCTTCGAGTTTTTGGCTGAAATTTCTGGAACCATTGGTTTCTCTACCCAATATTCTGCCAATGTGGTAACGTCGATTAAATTTATCACCAATGTTGGTTCATATGGACCTTTTGGAGCTGGAGGAGGAATTCCTTTCCATAGTCCACTATTGGGCAAAGGCAGTATTGTTGGCTTCTTTGCTCATGTTGGGAAGGCGCTAGACGCAATTGGTCTCTATGTGAATTCTGAGAGGCAACCAACAAGAGAAGCGGTACCAACTTACTTGTAGTGAATTCTGTTTATTTAATTACTTTTAAATAGATTTTTTTAATACACTTACCATGTACTCTCTCCGTCTCATAATATAAGAATATTTTTCAAGCTAACATATCTTGATTTTCTTTATTATGGGGCGGAGGGAGTACCATATATTAAAGAAGAAGTTCGGTACAGATTGTTTTAAAATTTATCATTACTTTGACATTTGTTAATCTGTTGTACTCAACAGGTTTCGATTATGAAAGTTGGCCCATGGGGTGGCAGTTCTGGGTTGTGCAATGACGTGGCAGTGTTACCCCAGCGTCTTGTAAGTGTGGTGGTTCACAGTGGCGAGGTAGTCAATTCGCTTTCGTTCACATATAGTGATTGCAATGGACAAGTGCACATTGCCGGGCCATGGGGACGGACGGTTGAGTCTCATGACGGTAGTTCTCATCAGGTGAGAGTATCGGTCCTAGTAATAACTTGTTACAAAACAATGCTTTGTTGTTGGGTTTAATGGATGATTTAATGCTTACTAATGGCATGTATGCTTGAGCATATTCATGTAATATTCACAACATGTAGGCGATGTCATATGAAAAGATGTCATTCCTTGAAAAAATATGCTTTCCATTTAGTGAACTTTCACACCTTCTGAGAGTGTGTCAATCCCTTTAACATCACTTGGTGATTCTCTGACTGGAGTTAAATCATGCGACTAATAGTTAATTTGGGTACTGCATCAATTATCTTTTTCTTGGAAAGGAAGGCAAAACCTATCAAGCACTCCATCCTCGGATGCATAGAACCATAATTTTAGTGAACAAGTTAAGATGACATGCATCAAGATCGAACGTATCAGCTTACAAAACACTCCCTCTGTAACAAATATAATATGTTTTAGATATTTCAATATGGACTACATACTGACTGAAATGAGTGAACAAACACACAAAACGTGTCTATAGTCATCCGATTCACAAAAAAATTAGGACATCTTATATTTGTGAACGGAGGGAATAGAAAAAAAACAACTCTAGTGGAGAATGTTTGCCTCTGAAATAGGCAGCATAAATATGCGCCGTTTCTATCGCCTGTGTCAATCCATATTAACTATATTACCATGTACAAATAGCTTTTTTTCCGAGAACATGTACAAATAGCTAGTGTGATAACCAAATTTCTTCACTTGTAGATTCTTCTCGGGGATTCAGAATTTCTGATGGAAATTTCTGGAACAGTTGGTCCGAGTCCTGACCATTCAGATGTTGTATCGTCACTTTTATTTGTCACCAATGCCAGTAGCTATGGACCATATGGACAAGGAGGGGGGACTCGCTTCCAAAGTCCACGTCAGAGAGATGCTGTCATCGTTGGCTTCTTTGCCAATGGTAGAGAATTTATTGAAGCAATTGGTGTCTATTTTAGCCCACAGGAGGGGACAAACGAAGAAGAGGTACAAAATTTCTTCCCTTGAATCCTGTGTGCATTATGTTATATATATGGTCTTGTAATCTGGAAGTGCATGTGGAGTCAGCAGCACCATGTGCAAGCATGACTGCACACTCCTTTTCTGAAATTTCCTTCTATATCCCTGGATAAGAAGGTAATTCTTTGTATGCTAATTATTCAGCAATTTTCTATACAACTATATTTGGGTTTGGATTCCAAGTCTGTATATCCCAGTAATTAACAGATTTTTTTGGCCTACATAAGGTTTCCAAGGCCATTTTCTGTGCATAGATAGCACCTTTTTTTTTTCCACACAAAGAGCAGATTTGTTTTTTTTACGCGTACATTGGTTTCCAGATGAACAAATTGAAGTGCCCAGATGTCCAAACTTCAGTAAGAGAATTGCCAACTAGTAGGAGCCTTACAATTGAGAACAGAGGCTAATCAGTCTTTCCTCGCTTAGACCCTGCTTAATTGGTTTAATATTTCAGGGCTCAAAACCAGTGTATTATTGGGAGCACTGGGGGAGCTTGACAAGAATTCCTAGGTGGGGCAACATAATAAATGTGTACATTTCAAGGGCAAAATACTAAAAAAAACGTTTAATCTAAGCTCCTTTCGCACATGTTGCTAACACAGATTGATTTTTTTTTTTGCGAGAAAATTTCCGATCTATTCATCTTCAATCATGGCAGTACAACGAATACCAGAAATAATAGAAATTACATCCAGATCCGTGGACCACCTAGCGACAACTACCAGCACTGAAGCGAGCCGAAGGCGCGCCGCCGTCATCGCCCCTCCATCGCCGGAGTCAGGCACAACTTGTTGTAGTAGACAGTCGAGAAGTCGTCGTGCTAAGGCCCCGTAGGACCAGCACACCAGAATAGCAACCGCCGCAGATGAAGAATAACGTAGATCAGAAAAATCCAATCCGACGACACACGAACGTAGACGAACAACGACGACATCCGAGCAAATCCACCAAAGATAGATCCGTCGGAGACACACCTCCACACGCCCACCAACGATGCTAGACGCATCGCCGGAACGGGGGCTAGGCGGAGAGACCTTTATTCCATCTTCAGGGAGCCGCCGCCGTCTCGTTTTCCTGAACAGGACACAAACCCTAGCAAAACTGAAAGAAACAATTAAAAACGGAGCCCTCCCGCCGACCCTTGCCGAGATCCACTGCGCCCCCATGGCCCTAAGACCATCGGAGAGGAGGCGGACCCGCAGCGGCGGCGGCGGGAGGCAAAAACCCTAGCTTTTTGTGGAGGAGAAGGAGGAGGCGGCCGCTAACACACATTGATTGGGAGATGTAATATTTTCTGAAAGACGCACGATTCTGCTTGGTTTGTCGTTTTCGTTCCTTTTGCACCCAGTTTGCACCCGTCACCAACTTAGGCTAAGTAGTCAATCTCTTCTGTCACTTAAGGCCAACTCCAGCGCGTGACCCTATCCTGTTCGGGTTCGTCCGTTTGGAGCAAAACAGACAAATCAGACGGCCCAACGTGCGGGCGCAAACGGATTTTTGTCCTTTCTATGTTTCCTTTCGACCCATCCCGGCCAAAGTTTGGGCCGCTTTTAAGGTGAAACGGACAGCGGGCGGACGTAGGGACGCGCGCGCTTGTCCTCCCTTGGCCCGCCCGTCGGTGGCACAAAGCACCAGCCCGGCGCCCCATTTCGCGCCATTTTCCCCCAAACCCCCCCACGTCCCGCCCGCCACCCTCCCGCCCATGGCCGATGCCCCGCCGAGTTCCGGCGGCTAGGCCGTCGACCCACTCGGAAAGGTGAAGAAGAAGGCGGCCAAGGGTCTGAAGAAGAAGCGGTCGGAATGCATGCCGGCGGAGCTCGCAAAGATGGACGCGGAATCGACGAAGAGGAGGAACCGGAGGGCGGTTGTAAAGGGCATGAACGCCGCGGCCAAGTTCGCCGCCGAGCGCGCTGCGTTGGAGGCCGAGCGGCGCAAGGCTGAGGTCGGCAAGAAGGAGGAAATCGTCAATAAAGCGCACACCCTCCTCATGCTTGGGATTTGCCGTCTGGCGGATTTCTCTGCAGCGCCCGTCGGCCCGGCGAGCACAGGCTCATCGGCCGCCAGGCCTCCGCACCGCCCCTCGCCGATCGCGCCTTTGTCGCCCGTTTTTTCTCCGGCAAGGTACGAATGCCAGACCCGTTTTTCGGGGTCGCCGGACGTGGGAGTGATCGCGCCGTCCACCCCGCGCCCCTTGGCCGTCATCGACCTCAACTTCACATCGTGGTGTGACAGCGGCGGCCGGCCGTTCCTCGAGATGCAAAGAAAGCAAGCACGACCGCCGTCTATGGGCACCATGTCGTCACCTCGCGTCCTGTTCGATGAAATGCTAACACCAGCACCAACGGTCGACGACCCCTTCTACAACTAGTTCATGGAGAATGTCATCTATGAGGGTGAGCGTGGCGCTGCCTACGATCCCAACGAGACCCAAAGTTAGGATGGCCGCGCCCAGTAGTGGCCGATGAAGACATTGAGGCCCACGACCATGCTGACTACGACCATGGTGACTCGTCGCATAAAGATGATGACATCTATTGCGAAGGTGATGGTGATGAAGAAGATGAAGGCATTGATATTGGGGGCGAGCCATTGTTCATCGACGAGTTCACCCAAAGAGCGGAAGCACAAAAGAGGAAGAAGAGCATTCGTACGGGATCATAATCACAAGAGGAGGACAAATTGATTTGCCAAAGTTGGATGGAGAGGATGCATGAATATATGGAGACTTCTCCCCTCGTGCTAGACCATGCCCGTAGATGCTGCGTATGCCGATGACTGCCTCTAAGAGTGAAGTCATCGTTCATGTCGCGACTCCCGTTCTGTAGATTATGCCTGAGTTGCACAAGATATGTGGGGAGTCCACTTCGCCTCTATCAATGCTGCTTCGGAAGGAGATGGGCTCCTTAGGGGCCTTGCCAATGCCCACGACGCCCTCACCACCACCGTTGGATCTGAGCCAAAAGCTCGTCTTTGTTGACCATGATGGTGTGGATGCTACTGTTACTCACACTCATCTGGACATTAGGTGGATGGTGGCTGTGTGTGGTAAAGTTGATAGGGTTGGTGCGATGTCACCTAATTCAAAGACTCTCTTCACAACAGAGCTTTGCAACTTGCTTGCCAGTTTGAAAGCGGACTAGCCATGGATCTAGCAAGGTGACTGCTTGCATCGCGGCGGAGAATAATACGAGGGGCAAAATCAAGAAGTTGGAGAAGGCTCTTAGGAGCAAAGTAAAAAGGCGTAGCACCATCGGCATGGCGTCTGCAACTGCTTAAATGGATGATCTTCAGTCTCTTGGACCGTCCTCATGGTTAGACTTGTCTCCAAAGATTTGGTGGTGTCCTTTGTCTTCAGCCAAGGTGTTCTCGTCAGGGATTCGTGTTTGTAGAAGTGTGAGGGTTTGTGTTCGTTGCACATTGAATATGTTTGCTGGGTTGACCGTGCGGTCATGAAGCTCCATGCTTTGTGAGTCGTCCACAGGCGGTGTCTATATCTGTTTTTGATCGGTTTTTCGTTAATTACCTGGGCAATTCTCTTCTTCTTAATTATTTGATGAGGCACATCTTTTGCCTCTGTTTCGAAGAAAAAAACATTAGTTAAATTAGAGTGGTATATATGGAGATTTTTTTTCCTAAAATAGTGCTTGTATAAGGAATTGGCGATGACTTGGACTAGTATTCAATGGTACAAATGGGCATTTCTCCCCCATTTTCACGGTGACCTCCAACAGAATAGGGATGACATTCTTGGTAATTAGGAAGTTATAAGATAAGATTTTTTTTAGAAAGTTAATGATAAGATTGGTATGGTAGGCTATCTCATGCTACAAAAATTATGCAAGCAATATTTATCGACCATCTTTTCTATGTAGGAGGATGTAGTTTCTGGTACTTCAGATGATATGGCTTCTAGACAAAGGTAAGACCTGGCTCTCGTGTCTATTCTCCGCGGCATGTGCATACCAAACAATGCTGATAATAGTGCACCTCTAATACCGGGAGAATTGATCTGTGTGCTCTCATGTCACATTTCATCTCTTACAAGTAGTAGAATTACATCAATGCTTTCATGACTGTTCGGTCTTCGATCACAATTCGCACGATGCATTTTCTTAGAACTGTATCCAACATCCATGTATTGTACTATATCATAAAGTATTATCTTGATTTCCTGTATCCATCTTATGATTCTGAAATGCCGGTGTCTTTCAACTTGTTCGATGCTTATGCGTACAAACTTATCACTGAGCTGCCTCTTGGTAGTGCCGATTTAATGGCTTAGAAATAAAACAACTAAAGCTATCAACAGTGTGAGCTCGGCCATCGGATCTCAGATCCAAGTGCTCCCAGGAGATGTTGAACATTTTTGCAAAAAACCCTCAGGGAGTCCGAAAATTGCACGCAGGTACACCAGCTACAGCAGCTCCCTGCTGGGTGTCGGCCCATCAACAAACTATTGGTCGGCAGCAAAGTTCCACTGTTCCAGACCATTTTCTTATGAGGAACTGTTGCAGATCATTTTAATTTGAGCTTATTGTACTGCTGTCATGCTTCAGTCAATAAACTAATCTCTACCAAGAATTGAAGCAAATCTCAATGCTTACTGTGTATCTATGAATATCCATGTGTTTAGGAAGTAAGCTAATTTATCTGTTGTCTGACTAATGGAAGTGCATGATGCATGTAATCAGGGTGGACATAAAACCTGCATCTAATGTGCTGGAGCATATGATACTCGACGAAAGTGCGGAGCCGATGAATCTGCCGTTAGCACTTCTACAACACGTCACGGAGGATTTTGCTGAGAATCGACAAATTGGTCGTGGTGGATTTGGAGTCGTTTACAGGGTAAGCTCAAGTTGTAAAATCCCTAAACGTAAAAAATTTCTGGTAGCACAGCTGAAATCGATCTACAAGCTATGATTGTGCTAACAAGACACGCTAAACAGGGAGATCTTCAAAATGGGAGTGTTGCTGTTAAAAGGCTC